CCCCCCCCCCCCCCAAGCAATAGTGCCAGTTGTTCCTCTGGAAATTAGAATATAAACAAAGACAAAAAATTTTCAAAGTTTTGCAGAGTAGCTTTTATAAAGATTTAAAAAAGTAACATCTTTTTCCTCTTAGAGTAAAACTATTTTTTATGTTACTTTTTTGTTTACAGATCTTTGTAGTCAATGTAAAATGAATGACTATATTGAAGGGTATAAAACATGGTGAAAGCTTAAAGGTAGGAAATGAATGGTGGAGTTTGTAAAGGCCAGAAATGAGTGAAAAATGCAAATCAAACCCAACTAAAACCAATAATTTGATATACATCATGATATTTTTCTAGGGGGGGGGGGGTAAAAACAAATTCGGCGCGCTTCGCGCGATACAGTACAAACTGGGACAGGAAAAGTTAACCTGACTCGGAAATTCAAATGTACTACGGCTGCCAGTGGTATGCGTAATTTTCTGTGCAAAAATTGCAATACCTGATTCACATCAGTACCTTTATAAAATCAATAATGTTGAATATTTTGTCATTATTCTATGTTTATAAATCTTTAGCTCTGATAATTCTGTAGTGTTTTCCTGTAGTTTGAATGCACTAGTCATTTTTATAAAGGAAAACCTTAATTGAAAATAATCAGTTTTCAAATTTATAAACAGTGATACCTAATTCATGCTTGATCAAGCAAAGCTTTTTACAGGTACTCTTGTGAATCTAGGGTATAATTGTCATCTTCGCAAAGAGGTTCACTTGAAATTACGTTTTTTCCCTTTTAAACAGACTTGCGCTTGGTCTTGGTCTTGCGCTTTCTAAGTTTGAAGTGGTTAATTTTATTAAATAATAAGTAAAATATTATTTTCTCTAAAAAGTTAAAAATCTTTAAATTTTCATTTCTTCCATAAAGATCGGTAAAATTTCCTAGATTTTTTTTTCGTAGAAAAAGAATAAAAATTCAACAAAATATTTTTGAAAATATATCATAACTTTAAACATGATTTTACATATTTCTCTTATAAGAGTAAAAAGGTTTTTCTTTTTAAACAGAAACATATTTGCTTGAAAAAGAAATAAAATAATTGCTTGACAGAAATATTTATATATTAGTTAATATTATCAGAAATACAATTTTTGTTCTTTAAACCAAAATATTCCTATACTATAAAAACTAAATATACTCCTACTCTAAAATAAAATATATTTTTACTGTTAAAATTATATATAAATTTCTACCGTAAAAAATGAAATATATTTCTTTCGTAAAATAAAATATATTCCTTCTTTTGTAAAGATGAAATATATTTCTCAATTCTATTGTAATAAATTGAATATATTCCTATTGTAAAAATTGAAGATATTTCTACTGTTAAAAATGAAATATATTACTTACTAATAATTTGAAATTTATTCCGAATTTAAAGATGAAATATATATTCCTACTTTAAGAATGAAATATATTTCTCCAGTAAAAAAGAAAAAATATTCCTATAATATTAAAATTCCCACTATTTCTGTAAAAAAATCCGCAAATCATTCTAATTGAGTACCCAGAACAATAATCTTTTCACAGTTGTTTAATGAAAATCTAATTCATTCATGATTATACAAAGCTTGTACTGCCAATCTATAAATTTAAGGTAACTTAAAACACATGTACACTCCCTTTAATTCTTATGTTTGACATATTTATATATATATTTATTGATTTATCATAATATCCCCTCTCTAATACTTTTTATTGGGTTTCCGTCCTTTCAATACAATTCCCCCTCCCCGGGCTCCTTAAATTCTCCTCGCATATCATTTCCATCCATGCCTTTACCCCACTCCCATCCTTACCTTTCCACCCACCATACCCCACCATCCTCCACCTAGAGATGGGCGAGTTCAGCTTTTTCTATATCGTTTGTTCATCATTCGTTCATCATTTTTTTTACAAAATTATCGTTCATTTTCTCTCTCACTGAACGATCGTTGAGTATAAAAAACTATTGTTTCTTTAAAAAAACTGTTTGGAAAAATCGTTTATTTAGTTTAGTAACTTTCGTTTTTTTAAAGTTTGTTCTAACATCTTAAAATTCGTTAGATCAGTAAAAAAAAGATTGTTTTTTTTTTAAGTTCGTTCGAATGATTTTTTTTTGTTAATTTCATTATTTTTTCTTTCTATTTAAAAAATAGATTGTTTTTTATTTCTCTGAACAATCGTTCGTCCATCGTTAGTTCTTTTCAGAACAACGCCCTGGTTCACGAAAATACCGATGGTTCTAAAATTTTTGTTAATTTACTAAAACAATGTTCATCTCTACCTCCACCTTTTTGGTTAAATAAAAGATAAATCAGGGTTGAGGCAGGGAGAAGGAAAAGAAGTTTATTGTTTATTTAAAATATACTTTAAGCCTATTGAGTAAATAAAGTATATATTGTGCACAACATGCAGTACATTGTACTGTACAGAACCGTATTTTGTACAGTACAGAACTTTATACAGTACAGTACGTTGTACAGTACAGTACGTTAAACAGTACAGTACGTTAAACAGTACAGTGCGTTAAACAGTACAGTACGTTAAACAGTACAGTACTTTGTACAGTACAGTACATTGTACAGTACAGTACGTTGTACAGGAGAGTACGTTGTACAGGACAGTACGTTGTACAGTACAGTACATTGTTCAGTACAATACATTGTACAGTACAGTACGTTGTACAGTACAGTGCGTTGTACAGTTCAGTACGTTGTACAGTACATTACGTTGTACAGTACAGTACGTTGTACAGTACATTACGTTGTACAATACAGTATGTTGTTTAGTACAGTACGTTGTTTAGTAAAGTACGTTTTACAGTACAGTACGTTGTACAGTACAGTACGTTGTACAGTGCAGTACGTTGTACAGTACAGTACGTTGTACAGTACATTACGTTGTACAGTACATTACGTTGCACAGTACAGTACGTTGTACAGTACAGTAAATTGTACAATATAAAACGCTGTAAAGTACAATAAGTTGTACAATATAGAACGTTGTACAGTACAGTAAGTTGTACATTATAGAACGTTGTACAGTACAGTAAGTTGTACAATATAGAATGTTGTACAGTTCAGTAAATATCAAGATATTTTCAAAACTGTTGAATTCTGTCAACCTCCATCTTGTTTTGCAGTTTAAATCCTCTCTATATGAAAACTACAATTACAAATTGTAAATTTGTTTTTATAAAAACATAGATTCAACTTTTTTGTCAGGTAAAAGGTTTAGATAACCCTCGGACAGTATAAATAAAAAAACACAGCATAATTTTTTTGTTTAAATAAATACATTCTGATTGATTAAGATTTTAACATGCGGGGCGATGCATCCGTTTAAAAAATTATAGATTAATATAAGGGTGATCGAATCTATCGAAACATTTCGATATGGGTACCAACAGTTGCGACTTGCACTCGGGAACTCGGGAACTCGGGAACTCGGTAGAACTACGGGAAAGTTTCCAGTCAAACCTGGGTTCTCAAGCTAGTGTTCATATAAATAAAAGATGTTTAAACGCGACCATCTTAAATTCCAGTCGCTTCAGGAAATGAAAGTCGGTTTTTTTTACTCCGGCCCAGACTTATTAATAGTGATTATAATTCTGGGTAGGTTCCAGATATATTTGTATAATATATAATATCTTATATATATTATATCGCCGATATATCAAATATATCAAGTGTTGTAAACAATATAATAGATATAAGATCTGTTCAAATAAAAAATAAAAAATAATTACTAAAATGAAGCTTTAAAATAAATGCTTGCAAAGGAACTGATTTCTTGCCTTGAATTATAATTTTCTACACCTTATATCTTTGCAACCTGACCTTATATTTAAACCAATAAAATTCTGCCAGATAAAATAGGTAAAGCTCGAAATATACACCATCATAATATCAAAGGCCAAGAGGTCGACCTAGTTTAGAAAATTGTACATAATTTTAATAGCTGAATAATATGGAACTCTATGTACACTGTACCTACGTAACTTACCCCGTTTTAATATTTATGTACACTTAGCTGACTCCACTGACTCCACTGGCTCCACTGATACCACTGTGTCCACTGTTTCCACTGACTCCACTGACACCACTGAAAAACTGTAGAACCTGTACCAGCTATTTCACCCAGGGACAATTATAGATCTTAAATTGTCTCTGAAAAGAGAATAAAATTAATTTATTATTACATTCCAGGAAAATCAGGGAAAAACTAAGAATTTGGAGAGAAAAGAATTGAAAAATATATCTTTGGGAAGAAAAATCTAAAATCATAATTTCAAAGATTCCAATTTACATTAAACAGAGCATTTTTACACTGCAGTACCCATTTCACTTAATTTCTTGAGGGGAGCAGAATGAGGACAATGAAACAGAATGAGGACAGGGAAACAGAATGAGGACAAGGAAACAGAATGAGGACAGGGAAACAGAATCAGGATACGGAAATAGTTTGAGGACAAGAAAACAGGATAAGGACAAGAAAACAGGATAAGGACAAGGAAACAGAATGAGGACAGGGAAACAGAATGAGGACAAGGAAACAGGATGAGGACAAGGAAGAAGAATGAGGACAAAAAAACAGAATGAGGACAAGGAAACAGGATCAGAAGAGGGAAACAAAATCAATAAGAAGAGGAGAACATAATCAGAACATGAAATATAATAAGAAGGATAGGATAAGGATAGGATAAGGATAGGAGGATGGGACTAAACTGTGAGGATTGGACTAGGATGAAAGGATGGAGGAGGTAGGATGAGGTTGGATCTCTGGTTAGCTTAGACAGCAGGGAGGCTGGGTGAGTACTGAGAGAACTCAACCTCCCCCGGGGATCCTCCAGTTACAGGGATACAGGGATACAGCGATACAGGGATACAGGGATATAAGGATACAGGGAAACAGGGAAACAGGGAAACAGGGAAACAGGGATATAGGATATATGTAATATGTTAAAATTAAATTGAGAAAACTTACTTGGACATTTTTGCGACCATTTAGCTTTGATTTTACGGGAAAGTACGAGAAAAATATATTCATGTCTGGTTACATTACAACTTATAAAAGAAGTTTTCCATGCCAAATCAACATTCTTTGTGATCAATATCTCAGATTTTGTTCAACATTTTAGGATACCTTTCTTAAGGATAAGCTAATGGGGAAAATGCCAATTTTTTTTATTCCTGACCCTTTTAAAGTTTTTTTTGTCCATATTAAAAACTTTTTTTTCGAGTGTTTAAAATCTGGAAATTGTTAAAAAAAAACACAGTAATTTTGGACTTTTTTGGAAGACGGTTAAGACCAAACCTTACCCCGTTTGATTATTGAAAAAATCTCTAAACATTTCATTACGTTGTAATAAAAAAGCATTTTGAAAATCCCAATGACATTCGGAAATTTAGTAGGCAAGAAAACAATTTTTTGGGACAGCCTCTATTTTTGTGGATTTTTAAGTCTTTTTTTCCGCTAAATTTCACCAAACTAAGAGGAAAATATAAAAATTCGTCTTCAGAGATGTGTTTGCATTTTAAAATTGGTTCGATGAAACGGTTTATAATTTCCGTTTAATCCAGTAAAAATAAACGTGATATTTATCAAGAACTATAACGCCGTTTTAATCGAATTAAATGTCCAAGTGATGACCTCACCCTTTAAAAAAGAAATATTTGATACACAAAGTAATGTCTCTTTCTGTTTTTAAATTGTATATACAGGGTGTCCCACGAAACTTGGCAGTTGATAAATAGTTTTAAATGTCGTCTTATATATACTGTATTATAATATATTAAATGCTATTTGCAGTTTTTTTCGCTTTTGCTCAAATATATTTCACTTTAAAATCAATTTGACTATAATATGACTACCATATAACATTTTTATTATTGTCTTTGGTATCAATCAACTTAACACATTTTGGAAGAAGACATTCTAATCTGTTTACCAACTGTCATGTTTCGTCGGACACCCTGTATGTGCTTTACAAAATTTCATAACTTCGAATTTTACAAAGATATCATGGAGTGAAACCAATCAAGTGCCTTTTTCTCATTAAATGTTCGTACACTAAAATTGTTCATTCTGTAATAAGACAATAGTTTTTTTCAGATTTATTTTAGAAAACATCTTTCGTTTAACAAAAAAACTATTGTTTTTAGAATCTTTTGGTAAAAACTTTCGTTTGGTAAAAACCGATATTTTTCAATTTCTGTAAAGACGACCTGAAATTCATAAAATATTACGATCCCAATGCTAAATTGAGTCATACGGTAAATATACTATTTTATTGACTTATTTAATGATTTCAGTAAATATGCTATTTTATTGATTTATTTAATGATTTGAATAAATATAATATTTTATTGACTTATTTAATGATTTGAATCAATATACTATTTTATTGACTTATTTAATGATTTTAATAAATTTACTATTTTATTGACTTATTTAACGATTTGAGTAAATATACTATTTTATTGACTTATTTAATGATTTGAGTAAATATACTATTTTATTGACTTATTTAATGATTTGAGTAAATATACTATTTTATTGATTATTTAATGATTTGAGTAAATATTCTATTTTATTGACTTATTTAATGATTTGGCAAAGAAACAAGTTTACAGTCGCAGGGAGTCATAAATGTAAGTAGGAGTAGTTCGGAAGTATCGTAGGTCGGATAGTACATGTAAGTAGCTCGGAAGTATCGTAGGTCAGATATAACACATCATCTGAGAAAGCAGTGTTGCCAACTCCCTGAGAAGATACTTCCCAATTTCTGTCTTGAAAATTCATTTTCGTTATAGTACTGAATACACAGTAATAATATTACTTTCAATGGTTATCAACTTAAAAATCAATGATTAATGATCTGCGTTGAAAACTAACTCATGACAGAAAATGCTATGATTTTTAGACAATTTCATTGCGTTTAAACACAATTTTTAAAATATATCAGTAATTTTAAATTCTCCAGAAATACGCGACTTTTCAATTAATTTCCCGGGGAATTCCACATTCCCCATTTGGTTGGAGATTCCCCAGATTTCCAAAATATTGAGGAAAAATTCCCCCGGTTGGCAACGCTGTGAGAAAGTAAGTGGTCTTAGGAAAACGACATTTGAACACATACTTCTTTCTTATTCTTACACTACACTTAACTACGGTGGATTCTCATTTGAACTACTCCCGTTTGAACTATTGTTCGTTTAAACTATTGTTCGTTTGAACTATTGTTTATTAGAACTACTGACATGACGTCATGTCCTTTTATAGTTCAAATCAACACATTTCTTGTTCATTTGAACTACCTTTCACCGCAATTCAGTTTTCAATTTTTTTTTATAATTCTCATATAAAGTTAGTTCGAGACAATTAATTAGATAACAATTAAACATTAAATGTTTCAAATAAACATAAAAATAGTTTAAATTAACATAAAAATAGTTCAAATGAACATAAAAATAGTTCAAATTTTTTTCAATTAAACTATATTTTAAGTTCATTTGAACTATTTTATTTCATTTAAACTATTTCATTTGAACTATTTTTATGCCCATTTGAACTATTTTTTTGTTCATTTAAACTATTTTTGTGTTGATTTGAACTATTTTTTTTTGTTTATTTGAACCATTTTTATGTCCATTTGAACTATTTTAATGTTCATTTGAACTATTTTTTTGTTTATTTCATTATAATATTAATAGTTCAAATGAAAATAGTTTAAATGAACTAAAAAATAGTTCAAATAAGCAATATATTTACTCGTTTGAACTATTGTTCATTTCAACTACTCATGTGGTACCACGTGCAGTAGTTCAAACGAACAATAGTTCAAATGAACAACAGTTCAAACGGGAGTAGTTCAAATGAGATAGCATCCTTAACTACCATCAACTACAGTCTGTTGCATTCTAATTACTTTTAGTCTGAAGCACGGTGAAGTTAGTCTAGAATTATGAAGTCATGCATTTATGTTTCTTCTCATTTTTTTAATTAAAATGTAATTTCGAAAATTGCCGAAAATAATATTTGCGGTAGATGGTTGCAACTGTGCCAAATGGAATTTCTATTAAAATATTTTGGCACAAAAAATGTTAAAATATGCAGAGTAATTGTAAACACTAAACAGTAAATTTAATATTTTATTTTGTAATTGATTTTTTGGCAAATTTGCACTAATCCTTTTTTCTGATGTTAGAGACGATTGTACGGGATTTGTTTTTGCCCATTTTCTTGCAATCAGGGTTCTTCGTAGGCCAAAACTGTTCTAAATCCTTTAGTAATCCATCAAAATACTCAATTTAATGCAGAAACCAAAATTCAAGCTTCAAACCTGTTTTGAAATTAGGCATTTGATCTATTCCCATTTTACTATATATAATATGTAATATAAGTAGCTCGGAAGTATCGTAGGTCAGATATAACACATCATCTGAGAAAGCAGTGTTGCCAACTCCCTGAGAAGATACTTCCCAATTTCTGTCTTGAAAATTCATTTTCGTTATAGTACTGAATATACAGTAATAATATTACTTTCAATGGTTATCAACTTAAAAATCAATGATTAATGATCTGCGTTGAAAACTAACTCATGACAGAAAATGCTATGATTTTTAGACAATTTCATTGCGTTTAAACACAATTTTTAAAATATATCAGTAATTTTAAATTCTCCAGAAATACNTTAAAATTTTTACCATTCATAAACCTTCCCCGTGGTCACGTGATGTCCCACAAAAAATTTGGGCCCGATCGGTTCAGCCGTTTTGACGTTTATTGGATACAAACAGACAGACAGACAGACAGACAAACAGACAAGCCAAATTTATATATAGATAGATATAGATAAACGTATGAAGATAAACTGTCCTTGAACAAGTTTCTAGTAAAGTGTAGAATTCCACTGTTAAAAGATTTACTATTAATCCGGTCAAATCAAAATGTTTTAGCAGGATTTAACTATGATACAGTGAACCCATTAATAAAGAATACATCGAAAGAATTCATCAAATGTCGTATTCTTCACTTTCTTATAATGGAATGTTGCAGATATTTAGTTTTTTAATTAAATGATTATATGGAACTCTTTAAAACCGTTCCCGCATATTCATGGCTATTTATTTATTTTCGCAAATACTGAGATTTACGTAAAATAGTATAAAACTCATTGAAAAATTGTCAAGACGACATTTGATAAATTCTTCCGATGTTTTCGGTATTAAGGGTTTCACTGTAAAATAGCTGTAATTATTGACGATATATGTAAAAACTAACTAAGTTTTTATTTTTATTTTATTTTATTGTTTTCGACTATATATTAATTCTTTATTTTATATGTTATATATCTCATTCCTCATTATAATTGTGTACGAATAAATAGAATAAATACAATATTAAAACCCTTCAAACTTAACTAAGTTCATGAAATGTTATGTTTTTGTTTGCAGTCATCATTGTTTTTATCATGCAAATATAGGGTGTCTCACAAAACATAATAGTTGGTGAATAGTTTTAAATGTCTTCTTCCATAATTTCTTTAGTTGTTTAATACCAGAGACAATAATAAAATATCATATGGGAGTTATGTCAAAGTTAAATTGATTTCAAAGTAAAATATATTCAAGCAAAAGATTTTTTTACGAAATAAACTGCAAAAAGCATTTAATATCCAATACAGTATAGGGAAGACGACATTCATTACTATTTATCAACTGTCATGTTTTGTGGGACACCCTGTGCAGTGAAGACGATTTTTAATTTTTGATTTCTACCATGCAAGATTTTAATCGGCAACGGATGCACTTAATACAAATTATTATGAAAACAAAACAATTCTGCCAATTAAGAAGCTTTTCTTTGTTTACTTGCAATCTTGTAATTTGAGAATAGCTTGTAAGAAATTAAAACTTAAATCTAGAAAAAATAGAAGATCAAAATAACGTATTTATTTTAAGTAAAGGAAAAGCACGTCCGATTCACTTTGTTACACTTTTAACTTTAGTGTGATTATTTTCAATTCTGTGTAAAAATTTACATTATCTTTTTCATTATACTCTAATAAAGAAATTGACGGGCGAAGTTGTAAAGATTATTAAAAGATTATTATTTTGAAATAGAGAGCAGATAAAAGTTCTTCATTCTTTATTCTTATTTTTCATATTCATCTGCATAATAACATAGAACTGGTTTTTGTCAACACAAAACAAACTGGTCTGACAGGAGCCAGGCAGTACACTGTACAGGGATATCCTGAAGAAAAAAATCCTATAATTATTTTTTTCTATGATTGTTAATACTTTTATACGTTGAAAATTGAAATTCAAATAATTTTTAGCATTATTTGTTAAATATAAAAATAGTAATCAATAATTAAATTAATAAATGATGTTGAAAGATAATTAAAAAATCAACATTGTTTCTTCACTGTTTTCCATTAGTGAGCTTTTGATCTTGAATAATTTTAATCTGCAGTTTAACATTTAATGGCGTTGCTTTCAGTCTTCCCTTTCTTTGATGAGGATTAAATTGTTAGATTCTGCTACTATTTTTATTTTAAAATGAGTAAATATTTATACCTTGGGTCTAGACTTCCGTAGATATTAGTTTCCATTCCTTCGATTCCTGTATTTGAATCATACACTGAACTTGTACTGTACACTGGCGTTGTACTGTAAACTGGACTTGTAGTACTGTACAGTGGACCTCTTGTACTGTATAGAGGACTTGTGCTGTACACTGAACTGGCCCCTGTGTACTGTTTTGTACTTGAATTAAAAACTTGATTTGAACCGTACAAACTATTCGTAGTGTTTGAAGCTGATGAACAGTTGACTGAGCTGGTGTAATAAATCGGACTAAGATCTCGCTGCCTGTATTGTCTACAGAATCCGCCTACTGGAGAACTAGTTGCGGTAAAACCAGTTTCCTGATCATCAACAGCTGGTTTTTGAAGCTCAGCTGTTTCAACCATCTTACTAAACAATAACCAATATAAAAATATGAAAAAAATACTAGGATATTGCCAAATATTCATGTTAAAGAAATTTTTAAAATCTTCATATTTTACAAAAGTTTCAGTGGCATATAATGACGCAAATTGTGCACAAACATTTTGCAAAATTTACATGTTTGCTTTTACACCGTAACTTATGCAAAAATGCTAAAAAAGTGCAATTGTAGCACAACTGTTTTTGAATTTTGCTTCAAACCTATTATTTGTTTATTATAATCAAATATAATTGAACAATGATATGAATGCTAGTTTGTGCATGCCTTATAAATAAATTAAACTTTTAATTGTTTTAGATTTTCCTTAAACTATAATAATTAATCAAGGTAAAGAAATTAATTAGCTTATCATGATGAATAATTATTTTTATCATTATTTCTAATTTCAAATATAGTCATAAAGGATAAATCATATTAGAAATGTGCTAAATCCAGCCAAGACAATAAAGTAGTCCCCAGGACAAAAGTGGTCAGCCAGGACAAAAAAGGGTTTAACCAGGACAATAAAGTGTTTAGCAAGGACAATAAAGTGGTCCTCAGGACAATAAGTGGTCAGCCAGGACAATAAAGGGTTTAGCTAGGACAATAAAGTAGTCACCCAGGACAATAAAGTTTTTAGCTAGGACAATAAAGTGATCCCACGGACATTAAGTGGTCAGCCAGGCCAATAAAGGGTTTAGCAAGGACAATAAAGTGTTTACCCAGTAAAATAAAATGTTTAATTAGGACAATAAAGTGGTCATCCAGGACAATAAAGTGTTTAGCCAGGACAATAAGATGTTTAGCCAGGACAATCAAGTGTTTAACCAGTATAATAAAGTGGTCAGCCAGGACAATAAAGTGGTCAGCAAGGACAAAAAAGTGGTCAGCCAGGAAATAAAGTGGTCAGCCAGGACACTAAGTTTTTAGCTAGGACAATAAAGTTTTTATCCAGGACAATAAAGTGCTTAACCTCGATAATAATGTGGTCAACCAGGTCAATAAAGTGTTCAACCAGGCCAATAAAGTTTTTAACCAGGACAATAAAGTGGTCCTCCAGACAATAACTGGTCAGCCAGGCCAATAAAGTAACCCCAAGAGTAAAAATAAACCGAGCAGATTATAGGCAAGTGAGCAGGATAAAAAAAGAAATTATGGACATAAAGATGTGTTTACAATACCTTGAATGGTTGCGTGGAAAGGGCCCTGTTCCATACACGTCTAAAACAGGTTGCGCCAGTGACCTTACTGTATCATACCCGCCACTCTCTGCTTCTTCTGCTGCCCTGGCGGTATTTTGCTGAATTAATGGTAGAAAGTTTGGCCTAACCCGCCGATTATTCCTGTACAGTGCACATTGAGTCTCAATAAACTGACAATTAATCTTAACGATTAGTAAAACCAGCTCTGAAGTTGCACAGTGAAATTTACGGCAATGAAAAGCATTTCATAGTAATAAATATTCATATTCAATAAAAAAATAATATAAATGGGCCAGCATACTCAAGCAAGAGCAAAGGACTTGTGACACTTTAAAGGTGGCCTGGTCTCAACATTTGATTCATAACTTAAATAACTAGAATAACTGTTCAGAGTTGGATATATTTCTTGATCAATGATTGATCAATTGATCTTTTGTTAATCTGCAGTTTAATTTCATCTTTATTCGATATCCCACATGGTATTAGTACCCAGTCAGGGGTTAAGTACCCTTTGATCAGGGGAGAAATTACAAAAAATGAAGATTTGGAAAGGTTTAGTTTTTTAAAGATCCTCAATTTAAAGAACAGTTATTCCCTGAGAACGAGCCTTAGCCATAACACTTAGACCTGCAGGCATTTTCCTACTTTGAAAAAACTCTGTTTTGTATGTTCCAAACACTACCAACGATCGTTTTCCAGTTATGACGCCCAGTGCTACGGTTGAGTAATATGTATTGAGGTATTAATGACTCCCTGTAGTTATAAATCTCTACAAGGTCTGCTCTGGATACTGTTGAAGAGGGTTGGATTGGTTCTATCTTCTCCGGGCTTGTATTAACAATAGGGTTCTCTTCTCCAATCATGTCTGGAGATTGCTTTAAAGGGACTGTAGGCATAATTTCAAGGAGCCTCCATTAATAGAGTCAAACAATATCCTTTAAACCTTTGTAAAATAATAGAGGAATGAGATATTTTTTTCAATCCCATATTTGATTGTTTTATCTCTGTAAAAGTGGGTTGCACATTTATGCAGCAGAATCTGATATTCAGATGCAGGTCTGGGTACTGTTCTAAATCAGACATGTCACTTACTGGATGGGGGGTCATGTGAAGTTAAGGTTACAGTCCCTTTAATGGTTCGTTTTCATATGTGTGCTCTTCCAATCTATAGGCTCTAAAATTGTAAAAGAATACAAGTTTTAACAAGATTTTTTTCAATTTAGTTTTTACCTAAAAATTTGATGTTTTTTATCCTCTAAGCTCAGAATTTCATCTAAACTTTAATATTTTGTTCATTAAAAATAGTTTTAATTGATTTTTTTATTGAAAAAACATTTTGTTTGATATTTTTTATGCCAGTTAAATTTCGACCAATAAGAGATTTAATCTGAGAATAAGTTTAACTTAATCTGACCATTTACAAGTTCATAGCTCAGAGCACTAATAATTTTAGTTTATAAACCTTAGATTTCTTTTCAAAACATCATTCCAGTCCACCGAAGAGTCCCCGCGTTCCAAGCTAGAATATTAACAAAGAAATTTATGTACAGCGGACGGCGTTTATATCAATACAAGAAAGACGACTTTTATCAATCATTTTGTCTTATCTCAAACATAGGTTGTTAAAATTCCATGTTTACATGTGAACAAAGAGAAACTTTAAATTCACAACTTCTCTTTGTTTACATATTTATTTATATACTCCAACCATTTTATGTGGATAGGGTTGTTATCAAGTACTCCAACCATGTTATGTAGATAGTGTTGATATCAAGTACTTCAACTATGTTATGTAGATAAAGTTGTTATCATGTACTCCAACCATGTTATGTAGATAAGGTTGTTATCATGTACTCCAACCATGTTAATCGTTTTTAAAAACGCTGCAAAAAAGAACTTTTTGTTTTTCTAAAAACAAAAAAGATCGTTTTTTTATCGATCGGTTTGTAAAATAAAGAATGTTTTTAAAAAAATCTTCGTTTTTAATTTAAAAAAAATTTCTTTTTTAAATATTAAAGGCATACTGCGCGAATTTTAGAAAAAAAGGTAAAAAATAAATGCAATTTCTTTGTTTGTTCCTAAATCCAGAAATGGTAGCGGAAGCATTTCTTGCTGTTGAAGTGGATCGGCATTCACCTGACACAGTGCAATGATTGTTTTAAAAATGTAATAATATTTTTGGTAACAGTTTTTAACCCTATATATGCTCCATTTACAGAGTTTTTTGTCTGATTCTTTACATGGCTTTATCTGAGTATTAATTATAAAAATATATATCGTCTATTCTCTAACATCAACTTATAGTGGATAAAAGCTCTGTGCCTTGTTCACCCTGACCACACCTTTCATAGTTAATTAAAGCACTGTGCCTAGATCAATTCCCAAGCTTGGGCTTCGCTTCGCAGGCAATCCACCTTTTTTCATTCTCACGAAGTCTCTCTCTATCCCTGGTTCAATATATTCACATAAATGCACTGTCCCGCTTACATCACGACCCTTTATTCTTCTTTTTCGTACGTTTTTAAAAAACTGTAGTTTTTTTCTTTTTCTAAATGATCCAAAACATTCGTCCATTGATTGTTTTATTCTAAAAGGCACCATCGTTATAAAAAAATTATGTACCGTATATGCATTTAGACGTACCGCCCAGTCTGGACTACCCACTTTAAATTCGACCCATTACGTTTTATTTAACAAATGTAGCCTGGCGAGATCACGGTGTGCGTTTTGTCTTATAAACTATACTAGTTCAAGTGCGGATGTTTTTTTAAAAACACTTTAGAAATTTATTTTTTGAATTTAGAACCCATTGACTACTTTAAAATATGTCAGCCCATTTGGTCTAGCTATATCGACAATATATAAATTTATACGATTCATATATAAGTGAAGAGCTTTATTATGTAGAAAGTATCATAGTGTACTGTATAGCATGCTCTATCTGCTTAAACTTCGGCCCGGTATTGGAAATATTTTGGGAGTATAAAGTGACAAAACTGAACAACTTAATAACTGAACAATGATTAAACTGAACAACTGAAAAGTTAAACAACACTAAACAACTGAATAGCTGAACATATAAAGTACTGTAAAGGTCCGAAAATATAGTTCACCATCACGCCTCAATTTTATTTATATAAATATTATTTCCCTGTCTTAAAGTTATTTTTCCATAGAACTACTGCATTATTTAGATTTAGCCTGTAATTAAAACTTTTGTGGAAAACACAATCATGCTAAATTCAAAATCCCCCCTTTCTAAATGAATTAGAGAGAATGAGAGTGCATGAGAGTGAATGGGAGTGAATAAGAGTGAATGAGACTGAATAAGAGTGAATGAGAGTGAATGAGAGTGAAGTGCATGAGAGTGAATGAGAGTGAATGAGAGTGAATGAGAGTGACTTAGACCTATGAATTGTCATGTTTTGTTTTGAGGACAGACTGTTTCTAAACGATTTCTTTCAATTCAGGTTTATTCTCAGTCTGTATTTATTATTTTATTTATTGCCTCCAGTTTCTACCTTTCCTCTGTAAAGCATGAAACAATTTCAGAGTGTTTAAACTAAATTATGAATAGTCATTTTAGTTTAATAGGGAGCCATTAGTAGGATATTTTAGTTTAATAGGGAGCCATTAGTAGGATATTTTAGTTTGATAGGGAGCCATTAGTAGGAAATTTTAGTTTAATAGAGAGCCATTAGTAGGATATTTTAGTTTAATAGGGAGCCATTAGTAGGATATTTTAATTTAATAGGGAGCCATTAATAGGATTTTTTAGTTTAATAGGGAGCCATTAATAGGATTTTTTAGTTTAATAGGGAGCCAATAGTAGGATATTTTAGTATAATAGGGAGCTATTAGTAGGATATTCTAGATTGATAGGGAGCCAATAGTAGGATATTTTAGTTTAATAGGGAGCCATTAGTAGGATATTTTATATTGATAGGGAGCCATTAGTAGGATATTATTTTGTATTTATCAATAAAACATGTTTGTCCTTTCGTTTCGTTTCGTAAGACAGAACGTTGAAGAAACAACGAGCATTTAGATCTTTTAAACTTTTAAATCTTTTAAAAATTTCTAATCATGAAAATTTAAAGAACAGAAAGTGTTTTAATAGAAATACGTTTATAAATAAACAAATAAAAAAATGTGATCCTTTCAATAATGTACGTACACTGTACATTTATGAATAAATTAAGAAATTGGCAACACTCGTGGATTTTCACACGTTAGTTAACCAAACATATACATCAATAATTCGTCCTTCCACGCGATCATTCGCGTTCAACGCTATTTTATTTATGAAGTAAAATTCTAAAATTTGAAATCTAGTTTATCATAATTCATGTATTTCCTGTCGTACAAGGCTGCGATGTTGGAAGAGACTCAGACACATTCTAAAATAAACAAAAAAAATTTAATGGGACAATCAAAGTAATTTCTAATAAACATCTAATCAATATGTCGCATGCACTTGGAACTTTGATCTCATTAAGAATAAAAAAGATACCATTATCTTTCATTGTAAACAATCATCATTGTTATTTTGATGGGTTTCTTTTAACCTAACTTGCGGAATTAATGCTGCAGAGACGATGAGGAAACTGTCAGAAATCTTCACTTTAAACCAAAAAATATCTTCTTCATTAGGAATTCAGTTGGCAATTGAATTTTTTGATTGCAATAATCATTTAGATATTTAACGTTTTGAACTACATAAACAGATTATTTTCAATTGTGGTTTCTCTACAAAAGTGACTTAATTTGACACTTTGCGACTTTTTTACAACAATGATTCTTGAAACAATAATTATAAAACAACTTTAGTCCAGGCTTTTCTAAATCAATGCATGAAAATATTTTTCTTCCAGGCAGCTAGGCCTACAAGTCTCTTTCGCTACTTATGACAAATTTTCATTAAAGGGAGTGACCGGCTATGTAAGGTAGTTGAACTGAGTATGCAGTGTTGTTGACAAATTCTTTTGGATTTATTTGAAACATATTAAACTTTTTAAACATCTGTAAATCCCGAGTTTGAGCGCAAATTTGACGTTCAAAACTCCTACTTTTGGGGTGGATACGTTTCCAGAATAAGTTTTTTTTTAATTATTATATAGCGATAACGAAAAATAAAGTAAAAATTTTACAGTAATCTAATTAGATGGTTAGGAACATATTTCTCAAAAGAAATTTGTCAATAAATCAATGCTAAAATCGATTATTTCGTTTTCATTATTATATTGAATTTCTTATTTTCTTTGAATTTTATTTGCAGATTTCTTCAAATTCTTCTAATGTCGTCTTTTCAATAATAATTCTAGAAAATCTGCGAAAATCTTTGTGAATAATGAGAAACCAGAATAATGAGAAAATAGAAACTAATAATTTTCGATGATAAGATTAATTTTTATTTTCTCAACATGTTCGAATTTGCTCTCAAACTCAGGATTTACAGATCTTTAAAAGGTTTAATATGTCTCAAATGAATCCGAAAGAATTTGTCCACAACACTGCATACTCAGTTCAACTACCTTACATTGCCGGTCACTCATAGTCATTTATAAAAATACTAATTGAAAATATTGACCGGAAGTATTTCGTTGACTAATAGACAAAAATAAACCAAGAAGAAAACAATATATACAGTTTTATATCAATTTTAGATATTTTTTATTATATTTTATGACCCTTAAAAGAACCAACCTGTTGCAAATCTGATGAGGTTTTAGGATCTTTATCGTCACTTGGACCGGGCTCATAGATTAATGGTTTACACGCTAATCCGTCCCTAGCTTGTGTATTAATTTGAACCTGGAGCCCTTTGGATGGAGCCGGGATGAATACTCCTAACATGAAAATTTGAAAATTGGATTTTGAGGGATCATGCAAAGCTGATCGGTCAAATATTAAATTAATTAGGTTTGTCTAGTTGAGTATCTTCTATACTACAGTCTTGGTAACCAAAAAATTCTCCTAGTTCTGGCATTTCCTTAATTTGGCTTGCCTTTTTAATGCTATAAATATTACCGGGGATATTAGGAATTTTGTTTAGATTTCAGTTTTGTTAAATAAAACCAAAATTGTCAAAATCTAAGTAAAATTCTTTATATCTAGAATTATATTAAAAGTACAAAAAAGGAAGACCACATTTTGGAAATTTCAGAACTTGGAATATTTTGTGATTACTTTCTAAAAATAGGTTGACAAAAAAATGCAGAACATTTTATCAAAATCAAAGACGACAGTCCAGTCCAGTCGTCTTGCTTCTGTCATGTTTCCTGGGACACCCTGTATTATGAAAATGCAAACTAAAAGAAACCTAAATACATGATTATCTAAAATCCTTTAGTTGGCTGCATGTCTGAATCGCAAAGGTACCTTCGTTGAAGCAACATTAATAATGATGAAAATAGCGTCATTTTTATTAAATAATGGATTTTTTAAAATTTTTCTATTAAAGTGATCTGCAGAATTTTGCTAACAAAAACTAAAACAGTTTGTGAATCTTAAATACATCGAAAAAATTGAAGTTGAAAAATTAATTTTGTGTTAAACATTTCATTATTACTTCATTATTTATAATAGAAACCCATCATATCAATCGATTCTGTATATTATTTTTGAGTACTTAGGCATTATAAATTGTAGACCTATAAAACTGTGGAATAGACTCTTTAAATAATTTTAAATAGCCAAATAAACATTAAACACAACATTTGGGCAGTGTACAACAGATCCTTTTAACTGAGTTAAATTAAATGCAAAATTACAAATTGTCGTATTCCCATTCCACAGCTTCATGAATCAAACTGTATGTATATTTTTTTCATAGACATAAAAAGATGTTTAAAATAATAAAAAAATCAAACCTGTTTGTGTATTTTTTCCTTCGTCTAAATCTTCTTTTCCAGTTTCAATTTTTACATTCTTTGTTCTCTCTTTTTTCCTTTTACTTTCTACATCCTTAGTTTCTTTACTGCCCTCTTCTACAAGATGAACTTGATGGGGAGAACTAGAATTTTTGATCAAACTGAAATATAAAAATTATATTTTATGTATAGATGTGTGTATGTAATTATGTTCTGTGTACAATGTTTGCATTTATGTTTGAATTTTTTAAAACCACACAAAAATGTTTTAAAAAAACTCCTTAATAGTTTGCTTTATTCGTATAGTATTTTAATGAAACAACACTTTTCGGACCGGTTCCTAATCCATTTTAAAAACGATAAAAAACGGTATTTTTTCATTTATTTTTTTCTCAAAACGATCTTTTCGTTTTTCGAAAACGAAACGCAATGATACTATCGTTTTTTCAAACTGCTACCGTTTTTGAAAATTATTTCGCTAATGAATGTAAAGTTTAATCGTTTTAAAAGGGATAAAAAATGATAGTTTATTTGTTTCTTTTTATTTTCTCAAAAAACAAAAAGCGAAAATAAAAATATGATCGATTTTTCCAAAAACAATGTTTTTGAAAATAATTTTGCTTTAGGTTGATGACAATTAATTACAATTTTTTTAGAAAGGGAAGTTTATGAAAGTTGCCTTTTTATCGAGAAAAATTACCAGACCTGTTCCCTGACCTAAGGTTTTTATGATCTAAGGGTTTTCCGACCAAAAAATGTATTTGTCTAAAAAGTTGTTATTGATTGTCAAAAATTAAAAACTACCTAACTTCGTTAATANTCCAGTGGAATTATAAACCCCTAGGAAGGATAACTGAATCCCTCCAGTGGAATTATAACCCCCCAGGAAGGAAATCTGAATCCCTCCAGTGGAATGTAAATCACCCTGCGTAAAGTTTTGAATTGTAAAAAGCATTTTTTCAAACCCCTCCAGTGAAAAAGAATTCCCTCCGGTGGACTCCAGTGGAGTCAAAATCTTACTACGAACTTCCGTGACTCATAAAAAAGCTATTTTTTTGCGCAGGGATATTTTTATCCTGAGGTAAGGTAACTTTAGAGTCATGTGATATTAATTGGATACAACACAATTATCTCTAATGTAAAAAACTTAAATAATCGTAATAGGCTTCCTTTCTTAAGTATCTTGAAGTTGAAACAACGGTTACAGTCCCTTTGGATACTGATGAATTGGATCTATATAGTCTTTTGTTGAATTAGTCCAATTTGTTTACAATATTTCAGGATAAATTAATAAAATTTCCATAATCTTTGTTTCAATATTAATAAAATTTAGATATTTCTAACCTGGGTTTTGAGCTTTTAAAATATCTGAAAGTGCCCTCATACTAATTTTTTATCATTTATGGTAAATTCGAATTTTTAGCCATTTAAACATTTTGTTTGTTAGTCATAAAACAGTTGTAAAACCTATAAAGGATTGATATGCTATTAGTGTAATATATTCATCACTATATTCATCATTTATATTTGTCTAAAGCAAAATTACATTAAGCAATATAAAAGTTCTCAATTTAATCCTAATACTCTTTTCTCTGGATATCACATTTTATAATTGACAGGGTTTTCCTAAAAGCAGGTGCCATACAAGACTTTTAGCAACAGTATATTTTAGTTATTCAGAGGTGGTTTTCAGAAATGGAGTTTTTTGGTCCCAGTCTAGTGTTTTTCGTTTTCTAAAAATGTGGTATGATGACAGTACTGCAAGGGTTCATAGATTTTTGCACATTGCTTTGACACTAACTTTGGGTTTGCATAACTTCTTCAGAATCGCCTTATTTGATGGTGAGATATATCCTCTTGAGCCAATTTCAAAAGGATGAGCAGACACATCCCTAGTTGTTATATCTGTGATTAAATGCTTATACTTGTTCATCTTTTGAGTGTTGGCATTTTTTATATTTGTTTCCAATCGGACAGTAAGCTCAAAAATATCCATCTTTTCCTCCATTCTATCGATAATTACTAGATCTGGTTTTAGAAATTCAAAACTGCTCAATAACTTTTTAATAACAGAACCTCTTTTTTAGAAATCATGTAAGCATTTGATCTAATGAAATTTACTATGGTGTGATACAAACTCAAATTATCTAATCCTGTTATCATTGCAACCTAGTAATGTCTACTTTTGATACTTCAAACGTAAATCAAATCAAATTATCTCACAGAATTTAGAGTTTGAAATATTTAAGGTCTACGGCATTATTTGCAAAGATATAGAGATTAGAAAATCAGGAACTTGACAAAAAATCAACAGCTTTACTTTGATTTGGAAGGAGGCATACATTGATTTAAAAATCTATTAATGAAGCATAAATTTGATTTACAAAATTATAAATCCCTTAGATGTTCGCTGACAAGTATTTTCTTTCAGAGAATGGTGTTCCTGTTTCTTTATCCTTAATAAAAAATATGTTTTAATATCAACATTAAACTAAATCTGAATTGAAGAGAAACCCCATGAAATTAAAGTGTATTTACAAAAAAAAAACTTCATCATTTATTAAGATATGCAACTAAAAGAAAAGATACCTTCAAACAAAACACAATTTAGTTCAATAGTAAAAAGTTCGCAAGTGTTTGCACGTGACTCTCTGTCTCTATTGATTGAGTGGCATGTCTGATTGACTATATAGTACCAATAATAGCTTTGTTAGATCAAGAATACATGATATTTTGAAAATTTTCTCTCTGAAAGTTGATTATTTCTGCTGAAGAAAAATAGGGAGGAATTGTCATAATTAAGGTAATTGCAGGCTAAAAAAGGACGATATCTTCTGCTTTTTTGATTGGGCAAATGTTTCAAGGGTGCCATTGTGAATAGGATATGCTCTTCTTTAAAAAAAGTTCCTTAAAGCATGGTTTCCCAAGGCCAAGATGGGAAAGCAACCAACCTAAGTATCCATGTTGTGATGTATATTGTCAGGTAGAAGAGCAAAAAGATGACCAGTATTATTGCAACCAAGGTTAGGAGAACAATCAGGACCAATATTACAGAATATGTTGTATCATTTATACAGCCCTCAATTCTTGTGATATAGGATCCCTGAAATATTAACTTGTGTTTAGATATCTCTATCATACAGATATAGGATCCCTAAAACATGAACTTGTGTTTAGATATCTCTATCATACAGATATAGGATCCCTGAAATATGAACTTGTGTTTAGATATCTCTATCATACAGATATAGGATCCCTGAAATATGAACTTGTGTTTAGATATCTCTATCATACAGATATAGGATCCCTGAAATATGAACTTGTGTTTAGATATCTCTATCATACAGGGCTACCTCCAAAGGAAGAGACTCTTCAAATATGACGATCCCAAGGGTTAATTGTGACTTCTTAAATATAGTCATTAATGGCCGATTTGTAATTGGGAACAGAAAGAAACAGTTTTAAGGAATCATGCATATATGGAAACATCCTGTAGCAATTCCGAACAGTCGTCTTTGAAATCTCATATTTTGTAGGTTACCCTGTAACTTAGGATATGTAAACTGTATTGACATATTTATCAAATCTATATGAAAAGCTAAACATCTGAAATAGTTAAAATTTGACAGACTAATCTTTGTTGCTTCCCGCATTATACATTTAAGTCTCATAAAAGTTTAAATTACGTTGCCAATTAATTTTGCTGTTTTCCATGCTGATATATTTAATTTTTAAACATGTTTTTTGTGATAAAAATAGCTGACTTTTATAATGTAAATTTACCTTACACTGATGTGCCTAAGGACCAGTTTTCATAAACAAAAACTCATTGATAATGTTTTGAGCGAATTTGATCCATTTTGAAGTAATTTTGTCTAATGAAGTCTATGGCATTGACTGTGACAATCAAAATTGGCAAATTTTAGGGTTTCCCATTTTTTTGGCCAATATTAAAAAAGTTTAAGTTGTGAACTTTTTTTTGTTTATGATTCCTGGACACAAATTTGAGATTTAGAGCACCAAACACAGTCAAGGGAGCCTAAAATTATTTTCTTAAAATATTTATTTAGAATTTTTTTATTTGAGAATTAATGTGGTTTGGAAAGTATTATTTTGGAAAATTTAATTCGGAAAATTGTAATTTCTGTAAATTTATTAAGGAAAATTAAACTTTAGCAAATCTATTTAGGAAAAATGTAATTTTGGGAAATGTAATTTAGGAAAATGTAGTTGGCGGGGGAAACGTAATATAAAAAATGTAATTTGGCAAAAATCAACCTATAAGATATAAGATATCAAATGAACAAAAATCATATTTTAATGTCAAAGACATACAATATTCGTATATTTAATTAAGCATTCAAAGTTTGTCCCATAGAAAGAATCAATCATTTATCATATACATTTACATATAGTATACATATAATATAAAAATATCCATGGCACAGTTTTTCGTCCTAATAGGACTCATCAATTGACANTATTAATGGCTTTCTAGCTCTTCTAGCAGACTTACAAGTTGTTCTTCTACTGTCATGTTTCGTGGGACACCCTGTCCCTGTAAATGTTTCAAATATATGATAAATCCTTCAATGGAATAAACACCGTTCTTGATCACGCACCCCTGACCCTTCAGAACAACCTAAAGTCTGACCGCGTCAACCTTGTTGCACCGGCTAGTCCTATTAAGTGTCTGCTTTATTTAGCCAATGTCTGGGCGATACAGTACAAACTGGGACCAGAAAGGTTGACTCGGCTCGGAAATTCAAATGTACTACGGATTCCCGTGATGAAACATTGCTTAATTGTGTAGTGCAAACAGTTCTTTTTTACAAGAAAAGTAATTTTATAAGTGTCTGGTAAACTATTTCCTTCGTAACACCATCAAATATACTTTTCTTAACATTGCTTTAATGTCGTATTCTTATTCCATTGTTTTCTGGTTATCACTGTGTCAAAATAAATTTACACTGTAAATATATCTATATATATAACTAACTCTCGATCCTCATCAGTCAAAAAACATGGGTTAACTGATGTTTTACGACAAATATTATGGATTTTCAAAATTTTTTAACGGATTTTCAAGAAATTAATTGACAATTTCAAAAACTTTACTTAATAAAAATAACTAAGGAAACTGCAGTAACATATGAGAGTCTTCACATTATCCCTGGCCAGTTAATATCTTCTGGTTTGGTTGTTTAATGGTTGCAGACAGTTGGTATCTTCTGGTTTGGTTGTTTAATGGTTGCAGACAGTTGGTATCTTCTGGTTTGGTTGTTTAATGGTTGCAGACAGAAGGTATTTTGCTCTATGTCTACATTTTCCCAACAGTTCACTTCTCTTGTTTAACGGGTTTTTTTCTTCTCTAAACAGAATAATTGTTTTCTCCATTGTACATAATCTGCAGTTTTTAGAGGCTGGATTATATGCAGGTGCAGATGCTTCTATACTCCAATCTATGTTGAATGGTTTGTCCTCAGATTTCAGTTTCCATATGTATTTTGAAAGGCTAGTACTGGTTTCATATTTCTTGAGATTGAAAGATTTAGTGTGATTCAAGAACCTCTCCTTGAAGGTATTAGAGGTTAGTCCAATGTAGACTGAACTTTCATCATTTGTTGATATTTTTGCTTTGTATATAATTGACTGAGTTAAACATTTGCCTTTTAAAGGACATCTTGATTCACCAACTCGGCAATTACACTCTTTCTTGTTTTCTGATGAAGTAGATTTTTCTGTTTCTTGTCTGATTATCTTTCTATTGTGTCCCGCAATTATCGACTCCATATTGCCCATGCAGCTGTAGGACACTTTAACATTCGATCTATTGAAATATTTTCCTAAGTCGGTGTTTTTGAAATGCTTATCAATGATTGACAGGAACTTTGCTGCAACATTTGTCTGAACATTTGCACTGTAAGGTGGATTAAACCAGATAACTTTTCTATGCCTTTTTCTTTTTGATTCCTTTTCTTTTTCTTCCGTATAAACCAGCTTTTCCTTGTAACCTGCATTTTTTAATGCTTCTTCATATGGTGGAGACTCAACTATATAACTATGCTTTTAATAAAAATTATAACGTATAACTTTTGCTTTTCAAGACGCCAATGCCGTTAATTCTACGTTCCCAAACAATAACAAATTTTCGCATATTTTCCAGAACAGAAGATGAAAATTTCACAACATATTCTCCGGTCAAAACTTTTAAAATTTGACACTCCAGTCCATTCCCTCAGATCATGTGAGTAGACACAAAAAGGAATTATTGAGTTTTTAGCCACAACTTAGATTTTCTAATCTCTTTATCTTTGCAATCTGATGTCATAGATCTTTAGTATTTCAAACAAAGGTTTACACCCAATAGGTTAGGCCTT